CAGGGGGCGCCTGAGTGGCTCAGTTGTTGGGTTTGGCTCAGGTCATGATCCAGGACCCTGGGATGGAGCCTGGCATCGGGCTCCCTGCTTGGCACGAAGTCTGCTTCCCCCCATTCATCTCCCTCTCCTTGTGTTCCCTCTCTCGCTGTGTCTCTGTCAAATAAATAAATAAAAATCTTTGAAAAAATAAATGTTAAAACAAGAAATTTTTGTGGTAAGTGCTGTGAGTTAAGACTGATGATTCACAGACCTGTATCCCCAAAACAAATAATACATTATATGCTAATAAAAAAGGAAATTTTTATGTATATCATTTGTCTATATATCTGCTATCCATTTTTATCAACTAAAGAACTGTATATACATATGAAAGTCTTTTTCATATACATATGAAAAAGCGTGGGGCTGTATACGATAGCTATTCCTGAAGGGCAAATTTGGAATAGTTATAGGGAATCTTTTACTTATATTTTAAATCTGCCCTCCAAAAAAAGAAGACAAATAGAAGAAGAATAAGAGATGGGGGGTAAAGAATAATTTCTCTTTTCTAAATGTGTTTTTTTCATCTTTTCCAATTTATGAAAATTTTCAAACATACAAAATATTTACTATAATGAACACCTGTGTAGCCACAGCCTATGTACAACAATTGTTAACAAGCTTATTTTCTATTTTACACAATTGCCCCAAAAACATGTGTTGCTTTTGTAATTAGGAACAAGAATTATTTGAGGAATAGGTTATAAGAAGACTTAGAAACATTTTTTTTACAGACACACAAAACTTTCCTCCCAACCTAGGCCAGTGGGCACAGTTCACTTTGGTTTAACATGAACTCATCTGTCAACTCATCTTAGTGCATATGTAGTTACTGCAGTCCACAGAGATGTACGAGGATTACTAGCAGTTATTTTAAAATCATCTTTTAATAAATGAGTATTTTCCCTTCCTCTGTAAAGCTTAAAGACTTGTAAGACTTGATTAGCAATTAATAAGTCTAGCAAATTCTTCTACAACATCTCCTCTCTCCTTTTCTCATTTTACTCCATTTTCCATTTGAAGTGATAAGTCTAACCTTAGCTAAATGATACCTTTTTATATACTTAGGACTCTAATTTTGTAGGTCATGGGTGATACAAACAATGGTACTTGAATTGCCTGTTTCATACTAGCTCTTACCAACCCAGTATATCAATAAATGATGACTAATTATTGCCAACTACATATGTTTTAATACATTGGGTAATTTAAGTTCTAAACAAATTAGTTGAATATTGCCAATTCCAACAGACTGTATTCCAGCTAATAAACATGTTCATGGGAAACACCTACAAAAAGATGTACCACATGCTCTTAGGAAGATGTTGGTCTTCCTCGCCCTGTTCAGATGCTTGAAGATAGCATTTCACGAACACAGTGACTAGATTGTCATCCAAAATTTGGAAAGTGTGCTAAAGCAATGTTTTTCTATATCCCACAGCCTTGCAAAGATGGCTCTACTGAAAACAACAGATTTCTTTGCCTTTACTTTCTGCCATAGTGGAGAGACAGTGGACAGGAATCTGATGTTTCCTTCCCTGACCCAATGATAGGTATGTTTGTGTTACTGCAGCGAAGGGTATATTTCTTTGAAGAATTTAAATTTTCAGAATACTGTATTTATAGGAAATTAGGAATGTATTTTCAATACCTTTGGAGTATGGGATAGAATTGAGGGAAAAACGTCTGCCTTCTTATGTTCTAAGCTTTTCAACAAGAATAAATACTTAAAAAGTGAATAGTTTTTCCATTTCCAAGATTTTTTTTTTATTTTTTTACTTTAATTTTTTTGAAGATTTTATTTATTTATTTGACAGAGAAAGAGACAGCAAGGGGGAGTTGGAAAGGGAGAATCAGGCTTCCCACTGAACAGGGAGCCTGGGATTGTGACCTGAGCCAAAGCCAGATACTTAACGACTGAGCTACCCAGGTGTCCCCAAGATTTTTTTTTTAAATGAAAAAATTTATAGAATTAGTAAACTAAATGATGTGCTTTCTTTACCTTCTGAAATACACTAAATTTCAAATGGAAATCTTTGCTTGATATTTTATCTTCCTCAACAGATCCATTGGAAGTGGAAGTGAACTTGCTTTGAACAAGTTCAGGTGCTAGGGACTGATATATGAATCACAAGTTTTTTTTTTTTATTTCGTTAAAAATTATTTGTTTGCAGTGAAGATGTGGGTGGTTAACTCCCAACTTATGCATACCATTAATAAGAATTGTCAAATTTTATGTTTGTGGATAAATGATTCTACTTCCACAAGTACGATATATATATAAGCATATTTCAGATAGTGAACGAGTTTAAAATACAAAAATTAAGGAGCGTCATATCATTTACTGTACAAACACCTACTAAAGGGGTCATTTTATTGTATCATCCAGGAAAGCCCTTGATTATTTGTGAACAAGAGGAGAGGAAAAAGCACAAAAAGGTTATTTGGCCAATAACCCTACCTATTATCCTGTTGGCAAGTAACTAAGGTGATTTATAGCCACTGCTTAGAATCTGTACCAGTTGAGCAAATGGTCACATTTTTATGAATTTCACGTTAATAGCTGAGTCTATATTCTTTGTCAACTGGTGAAATTTTCAGGACAGCATGACACATTATTGAGCTTGGGGGGCAAACAGACTGTTTCAACAAATCAAGCTCAAGTAGATTGCTACCTGAGCTAAAACTTAGCACAACATCGTGTTTCCACAGTGAGCAGATATGATAGGACCTTACGACAATTTCTCCTGTTCTGTTGTCTTCCTCTATTAAATCTTGTCTCCCTCTTTGTTCATTTTGCTCACTTTATTCCATTACCCATTTGATGCAGAAAGTCTAACCTTAGTTAAATGATACCTTCTATAACTTTAGCCCCTAATCTCAATTTTGTAAAGCTATTGATGGGATAAGCAATGTCCCTTCAACTGTAACATTCATTCTTCTTTTGATGGACTTCTGTGAAATTTAACAGGCTCTCTCCATAAATGGATCTAAAATTCCCACATTCACTGGGAAAATTAGATTCCTTATAAACTTTTTTTTATTTGACCATATTTACAAAATTGCCCATAAAAGTGAGACTTATAGATGGAGGTCTCTTGCTTAAAGTCATTTCTATTCCCTTGTTTGTAGTTGCCAGCACTCTGCTGATAATCCTTTCTACATAGTTCCCATTCTTGCTTTCTATTTATGCCCATAAGCATACTCTGTTGGTGCTGGAATAGATGAGGGGGAGCTCTGTTACTGGTCCTTTCCTTCTGGGGCTATCTTTGACTTTCCATTCACCTTATACTATGCTTCAGTCTCTGCTAGAAAACCAAGGTTGTTTCTAATACAGGTGACACTTCACATAAAAGCCAGAAGGGGCAGGGCAGAGCAGCAAGGTACTGAGTAACAATCATTTTCTCCATTTCCACAACGTGCTGCTCTTGTAAGAAATCCTATTGCACATCATTTCCGTGGCTTTTGGTCCTCTATACATTTGTTTGCCAAATGGAAAAGTGCATGAATTCCTGGGTCCATTATTAAGATGTTGCCTATAGCCTAAAGAAGTCAGTATACTACTATTTCAGAAAGTGAACTGAGAAGGTTTACTACAGAACTCAATTCATATCCAGTTGCCTTAATGGGGTAGCTAGATAGAGACTCAACAGGGAGCATCTACAAGACTACAATGATCTTAGAGGACTGCATAGATTTGTTCAGTTATCATCAGATATGCAAAGTCTGCATTTATCAGCCTTTAAAAAAATACATACAAGAGAGTTTGGGCTACATGAACATTTTCTTCTACTTTTACGCTGTTTGAGGTATACCTTTGCTTTAAAAAAACTGATTTTTTAAAAAATCTAACCTCCTCTGAGGTAGAACTTTAAAAACGACCCACATTTATGATGATGATTTGTATAGCCACTTTGAAAATGCCAGATGCTTCTTTCAACTGAACTGTTACTAGTTAAACGATGATACATATACATTTAAGGGAGAAAATAAGCCAGATACAATGCCTTGTATTCAATTCAAAGCAATTCACTGCAAATGTGTAGTTTAACACATTTGTAATATATCCTACTATGAGTTAGGACGTCCATTTGACACACCTGCCAACAATTTGGCAAACAATAACACAACCAAATTTTAGTCAGCCTTCTTAGATCAGCTCTTTACTTTCTTAACTATCCTTAGGTATTATGGCAGTGCCACTCAGTTTTATGTTTTTAGATCTCTTTACCATTTATTATTTACCATTCATTTGGTATAAATAAAATTTACTTGAAAGAAAGCAAAATAGAGCTAGCCTTGAATTAATAATATTGTACAAAATGCCCCTCAGCAGGAATGACAGATTTGCTCTGTTGAAGCACTTAATGTTCTTTAAGAAACAAGGATATTTTTCTTATCCTCAATCACTTTACATGCCTCCCTATAAGAGACCAAATTGGCCAGTTACATGCAGTATAGGTAATATTTGAAAAGAAACTGATTTTTGCCCCATTTTATTTCTTTCCCTCTCACTGCCCCCCTTTCTTCAGTGAAACATAGACGCAAATTAATAGGAAAATGCAAAATAAGTCTATTCTTTCCCCATGGAATGAATGATACAACATCCATCCACCCATTCATTCACTTTATGAGAAACTGAATTCTTGCCAGATAAGTGTCATTAAAAATAATAAATGGTGTTAAACCCCCAAAATGGTGATATTCTTGCAAGACTATAGATTTTCCAAACTCTAAAGGTGAATTACACATTTTCTCTTGTCTGCTCCATCTCAGATTTGTAAAGTTAACTTTCTTTCAAGACTTATGTATAGTGAATCTCAATAATATTACAATTAAAAATCAGGATAAACAAAATTATTCTAAATAAAGTAATACATTTATCTCTCAAAGCAATATCAGGTGGCCAAAAAACTTCCAGTAAATACTGTATTATGGACAAGATGAGTCCTGCCTCTTACCTGGTGTTTGAAAATTAAGGCGCCTCAGTTCTACTGGGTCTGTTGGATGGTGTGAAGGGACCTCCTTACTGTTGGGTATGCTGCTCTTTCTAGAGTCAGACTCTGCCCTCTTCCTATAGGGAGAAAATAAAAATGTAAGAATAAAATAAAAAAGCAATAGAAACATTTAAAAAGCAGAGAGTCATGCAACCCTCTCTCCCTCCCAACTTCCTGTTGTAAACCATTCAGCAGTCCTGCTTTGTGACCTTGTTCAGGTTGCTTTTCCTCTCTTGGCCTAGACTGTTTTCCTCAAGTCTAAAACTTTTATTTAAGTGAATGATCTCAAAGTCTGCTCTAGAATTAAATTCTTCGTTGATTCTGCCTTTTGGCTTTAAGGGCGGGGGGTGTTGGAGAAATAAACTTGAGTCCTTGTTCAGCAAATCTCCTTTATCCACTGGTTCAATTTGTGAGACAAAGGACAGAGTACCTGTAATAGCCAATGATAATAGAGTACCAATACCATGAATGTGTTTACCATAGAGAAAAACCTCCGAAACTACTGAGCTTCAAGCTGAAGAGCTAAAACCATACCCCTTCTTTCCTCTTTCCAAGATTATATGGTTGATGGCTACAATGAGGACCTGAATTGGATTTTCCCAGAAGGCAGACAAATATAGTGTATTCTAAGATTCCAAGTTAGCCTAACACCTGGAAAGAGAATTAGCACGATGCAAGACCAACATCCCCTTTCTCTTTCAAATTAAAAAAAAAAAAAATAGTGTTGACTGTTTATAGTGTTAAGCTATGATTAATATTCCATTAATGAAAGTCAATCACAGAAAGATCAGAGAAAAACTAGTTTCACCTACTGTGTCTCACTCTTCCAATGATTATTCATGGCATAGGAACCATTAATAGTGCCTTGTTATAAGTAATTCTTTACACAATTCATTTCATCTTTGCTTTAATTACTACTAGTTTTATTAAATACCTTTGTCTAGAGTGTGATAATGTAATATTAACAAATATCTATGCAAGAAAGGTCAGGTTTTTTTTTTTCCCCCATAAGATTTCTTATTCATTTTTTTCAAACCCCAAACACAGAGTGCTACCTATTTTCTTTAAGTTTAAACCAGATTTAAAATGGAAGAAATGGAGGCCTTTTTTAAGCAGTGCTTTATTCTGTATTTATTATTCAAAGACTGATTCCAGCAGTCTCTGGGCTGCAGTCATAATCCTAGCATCTCACTCTTGTTCCAAACAAAGACATTCTTCTTTGGGGAAAGGGGCACAGCGGTGTTGAGGAACACTCCCTTCTCTTTCTGACATGACTGTCAGGGCACAGCTCATTAGCGTTGCTGTGGCAATGGGATCTCATTCAGTGCCACCCAGGTCGTTCCATGGTTAGCCAGAGGGCTCCTGTTAAATAGCCTTTCTTTCCATCTCTGCTCATCTGTATAAAATAAAACTAACCAGGGGATGAAGGGAAGATTAATGCAAAGGGAAAGCACACTTGATTTGCTCAAGTGCAGTGCCTTCGGCAAAACGGCATTGATGGAATGAATTTTCTTGGGTGAGTCCTGTTAGACACCTTCCTCTCTCACAAGCTTGAATTAACCTGTCTTGGGATTTCCTGTTTCTACCTAAAGGTGGCAGGTATAGCCTGAGGACAGAATGTACTGCCAAGCCATACTACCAATCCGAGGTGAGCAGTGAATCTGAGGCATGGCAAAGGTACTGGCCGTTCCAGGTATATGGAGTGGAAAAGGAGAAGGGAAGGGAAATCAGAGCTGAGGGCTGGCAAGAAAGATACGAGAAGAAAGAGAAAGAGTGGCTTGGAAGACCATGTGAAAGAAGAAGATGGTGACCAGTTTCTGAGTAGAAAATGCCCCTGTGTTAGGTTGTGGTTACTTCCCTCACAGAGATTCACTTTACCACCAAAGATACAGAATCTCAATGGGCTAATGAAACGCCACCAACTGCCAGTCAGAGAGTCCCCCTGTAATAAACATATGTTTGGTTTTCCTGCTTCAGGTAACCCCAGGGGCCCTTCTTATGCTTGTTTGTTTGTTTGTTTGCTTGCTTTTCCCCATAAGAGTCAGCACAGATACATTTCTTTACTGATGTGCCAGACCTAGTGATTCTAACCTGGATTTTTTCCCATCTCAAAGTGTCTCCACTGTCATTTTTGCAGGATTATGGAACCAGATGTAGAAATTTCTAGGCAAGGAAACTAGGTCACTCCTGCAGGTATTGTGGGACATATTCCTTATCTCCTTTTTCACTGAGGACAGGCTGAGTGATATTGAGACAAAGGGACAGAAAAGAATACTCTCTAAAGAAATTTAGTCTGTTTCCCGGTGCCAGGGAAGGTGAACGTCACATCTTGTTGCCCAGATGAATCTCAAAACCCAGAGCATGGGATTAACATTACAGTTTATACTTGTGATAAAGTGTGTGTGTGTGTGTGTGGGGGGGTGTTCCCTGACATTTAATAACTAACTTCTTCCTCACTTTATCTGTTCAAATCAACGGCCTCCAAGATCTCAGATTCCAAAAATCCTAGCCATCTCAGAAAACCAGCCGTTTAAATTTTGTTTTGCTTAGTTTAGTTCTGGTGATCACAACATGGATAATTCTGGCCGCCCACAATTTTGTCACATTATTTTTAAACATAAATGTGCCAAAATGGTTGTTTTCCAACAGAAAGGATTTCTAAGAAATGCTTGCAGGATGAAGAGTTTGGTCATCATTGGGTAATAATGATAAAGAGCTTTAAAAATAGAATTTACGGCCCTAGAGTTCTTAAATGGCGTATGGTGGTTTGAATCAGGCCCAACATGAACGTACATAGTCACACATTTTTCCTAAGTTTTTAGAGGTCTCATTATTCTCATTTTCAATGAGATAAAAGCAAAGATAGTGACTCCAAAATGATGTGAATTTTGCCTTGCTATTTTATTTTTTCTATTAAGATTAACAGTCCTATTATAAGGATATTTCCCGCGAAAAGGACTATCTACCACATGTAGGAGTTATATGGGTGAAAAGGAAATGCAAGGTCACATGACACTTCAGATATGGTGGAAACTGCTAGTAATATAAAAATGTGGTGGTTTGGGATGTGGATCACATATAAAAAAAATTCTACTCTGTGGTCTAAGGGCCTTTTATTGTCATTTATTCTCACCTGGATATCATCTAGGGATGAAGTGGGAGGGAATCCACTTACTTAAAACAAAGATATTCAGACATATGGGCCAAGGCTTTTGGAAGACAGATATATTTATCAGAAATCTCTGCTATTAAATTCAAAGAAGTCCATTAAAACACTTTATGATTATGATGCTTTTATATTATGATGCTTTCGCTCTGCCACTACTGGTGTGTATCTTCTTAGGGAAGTCAACTATAACACTTCTCAATTTCTTTGTGTACAAATGAGAGGAAGAAGAAGATTTTGAGATGATGTCTACGTTAAATGTTGCAATTCTTTAGAAGTTGAATTGTTTTATTTATTTTATATTTTATAAAGAATAAAAGTATTGAAGAAAATTTCTAGTCCTTTCATGTATACATTAGATGTATGCATTTGTAAAGTTACCCACATAATGACTTAAATAATTCTGAAGGCTGATACATAAAGTACCATTTAATTTAGAAAATTATAAACTCATTTTTAGTATCTTAAATATTCAATAAATGTTAATTATTGGTTCTGAAAAAGAAAGAGAGCCAATTCTCTCATCTTAATGGCACCAGAAGGCAGTGATAATGTTATAAAATGTAGACAGTATAAATGGGAAGGTAGATCTCTGAGTATATTAAGTGGATTCAAAGTGTGTTCTATTTTGACTAAAAAAAAAAAAAAAAAGCACACAAAAATCAAACCTACTTTGCATGTGTTTTTAGCTAGATTAATGACTGTTAGTGATATTTTAAAAAAAGACACCCTACAGAAATACTAAGTTTTGTGTCAATGAAAGTAGCTTGCTGACCAGTGTTAAGTGATTTTAGGGAAAATAATAGAGCCATGCTTCTCAAACTTTAGCATGCAATGGAATCATTTGGGAGGGCTTACTAAACTGCAGACTGTTGAACTCACACCCAGAGTTTCTGATTCATTAGGTCTGGGTAGGAAGTCCAAGAATTTCTATTTCTCTCACTTTCCCCGGTAATGCTGATACTTCTGCTGCTGGTCCAGGAACAAGCATTGGAAACTACTGGAATACAGTACTGGGAGGAAAATGACTGAGATGAGCACTGACGCCCTTTTGTTAGTTTTATCAGAAATCTGTATCTATCAATATAAATGGAAAAGTATAGATAGATACACATTTAGATATATAGGTATGTTAGAACATAGAAAGTTAGATTGGACCAGTCATTCAGTAATCACACAGATAGCTAGTCTTACCATTATTATTACTATTATTATTATTATTATTATTATTATTATTATTGCTACTACTCCTACTACTACGATTGCTGCTGCTGCTATTATTAGTTGAGTTGGAAAACATGGAAAGTAATATGGAATTATGTAAGAATTTTCACAGAGGCACAGTCACCAATATTTGCAGGATATGAAAATGCCAGTTGTGTTCCTGTATCAGGAGGTAACCTCAGATCAAACTTAAAAATCGGTATTGAGTAAAAACAAACAAAACAAAACAAACGTTTTATGGGACACCTCACATTTCTGTTCTGCAGACACATTAACACATACAAATTCTCATTAAAACAAAATCCAGACTGGTTTCATTACCTTCTAAATTTGGATAATTTGTTATTTCTTTTTATATAGACAAAGTAATTTATTTCCCCCAGAATCATTTTAATACCAATCATTTTAATAGTCTATAAACTAGGCTTCGTCCGTCTTCTACTTTTATATCCAACTTCCACCCTCACCCCCTCAATACTTCCAAAGGCTACCAGTATCTAGTACTGAGCATTAAAGGGGTTTGTTCTCTATTCCTCACCTGTCAGGTTTACTGCTCCATTTTAATGCAGCAAAAAAAGAAAAAGAAAGGCTAAATGTTAGTTGGCCAGTGGTAACAAGAGTAACTATGACAACGAAGATTTAAGAAACACTGCTCACCAGCAGGGACACATTAACTAACACACATTGGGAAATGACAGTGTATCAAAACTTTAACGGTCTCTAATTATGAATTAAATGGAGGACATGAGGGTACATAACTAACTAAAACATTTTTTGTGCATACGTTAATGTCACATTCACTTTTATTCATCAACCTACGTAATATCGTCACAATTAATTATTTCCCAGAAAGTGTTTGATGGTAGAGATATAATATGCTTTTTATAAGACATGCCATGAGGAAACTACTAATGTACTTAATGGGAATACAACATAATTCTGTATAAGAAATTTGTTCATCTAAAACAAAACCTTCAATTAAGAGGTATGTTATTCCTTATAAAATATAAATATTATATAAAATATCTGCAAATTGCATTGAACTGCACAAAAAATGTGCACAATGGTATAATACACTATAAGGTAATAAAGTGGCAAAGATAATTTCTCCAAACTCCTTTTGACAAGTAAGGTTATCTATCATAAATCTTTTTTCCAATAAAAGATCAAATACATTTTCAGTTTTGGAAAAAAAAATACTCATCACTATAAATCTACAGAGCATGACCCATCTATATTGCTGGGCTAATCCTGAAAGTCTTTTATTACCAGCCACAGACATGACAGATATTTTCCTAGTCAAAGAGGTGCTGCTGTCTGTAAAGACATCTAGCTCATGCTCATGTGATAATATGTGCATTGTTAAATAACTATGTTCTTTATGCAGAGAATAAAACTTTTACCTGAAAAAATTAATCTAAATAATCTCTATGGTGAGATGAATTGCCAAATATTTGGAGCATTCTTAAATCCAAAATAGAGAAACTAAATCTGCCTTAATGCCAATGAAATATATACCTGAGTGGCTAAAGAATCTGGATTTAAGGTCTATCTCCTTTCAAAAATACAAAATCCACATTTAAATTGTACAGACACACACATACAAAGAGAATAATGAAAGTGATATCAAACACACTGGTTAATTCTTTGTATTCTTCATTTTAAAATGATTTACCTAGTGCCCCAGGTTTTAAAAATCCTATATATATGTTTCTAAGTTGTTCATCTTTTTGTTTTTTGTTTGCTGTTGTTGTTGTTGTTGTTTTGTTTTTGTTTTTGTTTTTAAGGAGGCTTCATGCTCAACATAGAGCCCAACATGGGGCTTGGACTCATGAACATGAGATCGAAACTTGAGCTGAGATTAAGTTGGATGCTTTATTGACTGAGACACCTAGGAATTACTAGCTTGCTCATTTCTAATCCAGGAGATCTTTAATGAGTCAGTTGTAGGAGAATCTATTTCTTTGCATGGAAGAGAACTTCTTAGTGAATTATCAGTTTAGTATATTAAAAGGCTGAGTATTCTGGTGAACAAATGCATAGTTGGTGTGTGATTCACTCCTTCCACAGAAATGTCAGACCCACCACACACATAGGTATGTATTTGGTGCAAGTATCTAAGTTTGAAGGCTTTAGGAACATATGAATTTAAATTATAGGCTGAGGGTTTTATTATAGCTCTTGCCAGTCAACATGAAGGTGGTATTGTATGATGGAGTAAAGAAGCAGAGGGGAGGGAGTTTGGACTTTGTTGATACTATTCAATTGATATAAGGTTGATTACTCATTAACCCTCTGTGTCATGCAATCTACTAGGAATAAGGGATAACAGGAAATGACAGAGTCCCTGACATACAATTTGGTGGGGGCAAGAAAGACAAGGATATGAGCAAGTCCAGTAATGTGATGGTTCTGTGACATCCATAAGCAGAAAGTGCTTTGAAGAGTATAGACGAGGGAATGCCCTTAGGGGAGCCTGAACTGGTAAAGAGAACAAGGCAAGAGGGAGGCACCCAGAAAGACTTTTTAATAGGTGGCATCTTAGATTACTTCTAAAGGATGTTTCAGAGTTGGCCAGGCCAAGAAAAGAGGATGGGGAGTCAGAGGAAGGGCATTTCAGGTATACAGAAGGATCTACTCAAAGGCCAGAAGGCAGAATCAATCAGCATTGTCCAGTGTGGTTGGGCATGGCAATATACTTCTCCGTAGCATCTCAAAATGTCCTGATCTGTATTTATTTCTTGATGACATCTTGGAAATATGCATAAAGTTGACACACAACGAGAAGACTAGTAAGGCACAGTCCACAGAGAGTGGCTAATGATGGAACTGGGGGGAAAGCTTGAAAAGCTGAAGTCTGTGTTTTCATCCCATCTATCCCATGGCTTTCATACATGAACATCTACAGGTGGAGATGGGAATTATTCCCTCTGTCCACAATATCTATTTAAGTTAGACTATTACTTTTTAAAGATGTTAATTTTGTTTAAATAGTGCCTTAGATCCTTCCGAACTCCTAATCCATATTTTCTTTTCTTCCATAGTACATAATAAATACTTCTCATCCATCTTGAAATGCATTCCCATAAAGTCAGGCTAATGTCTTATTTTCAAAATATCTTCTATATAAATAATTCCTGGACCATGCTAGAACTAATGACTAAAAAGCCTTACACATGGAACAAGTATATGCAGTAGATGGATATCTAAGTGTTCATTTGTTTTATGGGTTCTTTTATTTTCTTTTTTGTGGGGTGGATAAATGGAGAACAACCTGGAGTCATATTTTAAAAACATATATACACTGGAAACAGAAATGTTATAGCAATAATTCTATTATTTAGGTTTTTATGTTGTCAGATTAAAGAACATTATTATTAAAAAGGTTCAATTATCTAGTCTACCTACTTACTTTATAAACGAGGAAACTGAGGCCCAGAATGTTAACGTGAATTTCTACCCCAATTAGTTACCTAGTCACAGAGCTAGGACTCAGGTTCCCTGATTCCCGATTATCTGATCAGTGTTTTTCTAATGCTTCCTACCATCTAATCTCTATGATTCACATTTTGAAAGCTTGTGTACATCATATGTAGAGAAAAATTTAAAAAAATCACAGGGAAAGAGAATTCATTACACTAAAGACCTACCAAATATATTTTAATTTTCTTATGGTTCAGCATGAATTTTAGGATTCTTATAAAGCCTCAGTTGATGTTTTGTCACTGATTATCAATGTATTATAGGCTTACAAATTACTAGATTAAAACTAAAGTCATATAAATATAATGCCAGATAAAAGAGTACTAGTTCCACATCAATATACTTAACAGGAATAAATCTTAGTCTCCTCACATAGATCTATAAAATATGCTTTTTTATATGAATAACCCATCCACAGCTCTAGACCTACTCCTATGGCAAGTAGTTTAGTAAGCAGGTGTGTGTGATATATGGTATTATCAAGATAATGTGAGTTAATAATATTTAATAACAATAATAATAATAATGATATACTCAATTCGGAGTCATTACTAATGACCTATGTATAAACTGAAAGACACCTAAAAAGAGGGATGAAGTATTTATTATATAATTAACTTTACTCAGAATCTAAGCTATAAAAGACACTATTCATTGCCTACAGAAGATTTCCTCTTGAACTGCATCATGATAATCAAGAAGGACATTGTTGGGTCTACTTGAATTTCAAGTCAGGAATGTTCTTTACTGCTGAAGCAAGCATTTCTATTTCAGAAACGCTTCATGGGCCTTCAGATGGTTGGCTAAATATACTTAGCATTCGAGGATGTGTGCATTTCCCAACAATTGCATTAGACGATGCTTACATATGCACACACTAAAATGCAACTCTATTTTAACAGAGTCATAAAATCTTTAAATGTGATGCTTTTTTTGAAGGATTAGAAAAAATATATAACTGAGTTGAATTTTTCCTCAAGCACATGCACATGAGGCAAGGAACACTAAATTATAAATCTTTAAAAAATTATCAAGGTTATAATCTTATTTCTTCACATTTACATAACTCACAAATGCTACACACACCTCTGTAAAGTGACATGACTTAATGATAGCCAGATATAGCCAAATGAAACACAACTTAAAAAAAAATACAGCAAGCATTTTGTTCATTTTGGAAAATCACAAAATGTCATGTGCCATGGTCTAGAAATGTAACCATCCACAAGCACTTTCTGATCTGACTCCCACAGCAGGATTTGGCCATCTAAATATATATCACAGAAAACAAAGATAATTCTACTTTTAATCTTTTATTTTTATATTCTTTTCTGGTCATGAGTGTAGCACATAAACAGCACAGGATACCAGCTCCTGCCTGGACTCACTCAGAATTTGTTATTTTTCTGGGGCATGTGGGCACCTTGTGCTTCCTGCCTTTACTCCTTACACAAGAGAGACAACTCAATACACACTGATATAATATGGGGATGGGGAGATTGAAACCATCGTCTAAGAGAGAGTTTGGCCTTAAATTACTTGCTTTTTCAGCCATCTTATAGTGTGGATAACTGAGTGATGACAGTGATCAGGAAAAAAAAAATAATGATGGATATTTCTTTTCCTTCTTCCTAAGTCTAAAATAGGAGAGGCAATTTAATAGGTTATGGTTATGAACTTCTTTCTTTAATGTTTCTTCTCTTTCAATCCTCTCTTTACACTGAAATAAAATGGAACACAGCATGTTAAAACAAAGTTTTGTAAAGGACAAGTGTCTTAAAGGATATTCTTTTAAATTGAGAAGTGGTTATAAAAAAAAAAAAAAGACTATTTCAGGAACATAAGAAGAACATGCTTAACAAAAGAATACAGGTAGAAATAATTAATACAAACCCAGTAAAGGGAGCTAGATAAATAGGAAAAAGAGATAATGAAAACAAGATTATCAGATGAAGCATGTCAGTAAGAATCAAAATGAAGATATTCTCATCTGATTTTGAAAGTCAAGGTTATGGGGGGGAGGGGGCTATTTTACAGTACGGGGAAGAGATCATCTTCACAGTAGCATTCTGAAAGATGACATACTACAAAGAAAAATGGGAACATAGATTAAAGTTTCATAAAAATAAAATTTGGATTGGAAGAAAAGAAAAAAGTGATATAAAGGGAGATAATTTAGAATTTAGCCATTCTACACATTTAAGAGAATTTATTATATATGTTAATTTCTATAATTTTATATATTTAAGATCATATATTTTGTAAGTCAGAAAGGATTTAGGGAAAGAATTACTAATGTACCCTTTCCAACTGACTGGGACTAGGGGAGAAATCTAGCTTACTCTAAATAAGGCAGAAATGTAACTGATAAAGTGTGGAAGATCAGAAAACATGGTGGTACATGTGGATTATCTGAATCCTGATTGTAGTCAAAGACACTAAATTGGATCAAAACTTGGGAGTATAAAGGTCTAGGTTGTGGTTTTAGTTTTTTAAAGGAAAACGGTACCTTATATCCCTTCTTGGACTCAAATAGAATTCACTATTGGAATAAAGATTATAGAAAGAGAAAGATAAAAAAAAAAATCTCTTCACATTTTTCCTTCCTTTATCTTCAAATTTTAGCTATTTTCACTGTTTTGAGAAATAGCTACAGGAAAAAAAAAATCTTAGCTCATGCACTCATTAGACATATGGAATGGGAATAAATGTGTAAGTTTGTAATAGCATTTCTAAAACCATGTTGAAATGGAGCAATTAATCATCTAAAGCTTTCAAATGCAAGTTTGGAATTATCTGCTTATGAATGTACTCATTTCTTGCAAAGTGCCATGCAAAGTGCTCCTGATGCATAAAGTAGCTCATAAAACCAAGGCTAAGATCCATGAATGCTGGTCAAGAAAGTCTATACCACACTTGAATGGGATTTAAAACAGCACAATCTTTACATTTCATTCTAATCCAATGGAAACATTTTCCAATGATTGTGGAGACTACACCGAAGTACTTCATTAATAGTAACCACATAATGACCATAGAAGGATTACCAAGACTGCAATAGAAATATGGGGCAAACCTACCTTTTATAAAGAAGGATAGCTATGACAATGCAGATGATAAAGACCACCGCGAGGACAGGACCTACAACCCAGATCAAGCCTTCTTCTTCATCTGTGATTGGCTGTGGATCCAGATCCATTGACACAACAGGGTCAGAGTAGGGACTGGTTGCATACATCTTCTGAGGAAAAACAGAGTCTGTGTTACTTATAAACTAATGGTTTTCTCGTGTATATCTATACAATTAGAAGAAGCAAAAATTCAGAACTTAGTGGATGCGATGTTAAGTGTATGAAACAATGTCAGTGAGAAAGGAGGGGAGGGAAAGGGATGAGAGAAGTGGGAGAAAAGGGAGGAAGGAGGAAAAGGTAAAGAGGTCTTGCAATGTAAATTTCCTTGTACAGTGAAATATTTTGTAATAAAATCATTTTTGATGGTATAAATTACTCTGCAGACACATTTTTTTGAGGATCTATATATGACATACTAAATGGTCTTATGAAGTGTAAATGAAAACAGTTAACCATTTACAAAATGTTCAATGAGCATTTACATTGTGCCAAGGTGTTACATGTTATGTGAAAATCAACAGAAATATTATAGTTTCAGCCCTAAAGACATTATCAGCCAGTTAAGGAGACCAAATTTAAAAAGTAAATATTTATAGGAAAAATATCAGTATTTGGGGAAGGGGAAATGGAGACATGTAGGTCAAAGGGTACAAAACATCAGTTATAAGAACTTCTGAGGATCTCATGTACTGCATAGTGACTATAGTTAATAACACAGTATTATATATTCAGAAGTTGCTGAGAGTAGACGTTAAGTATTTTTCAGCACACATGCACACACACACACACACACACACAAAGAGTTAACTATGTGAGCAGATGGATAGGCTGATGATCTTTATCTCGGTAACCATTCCACAATGTACATTGTACATCAAATCATCATGTTGTACACTTTAAATACGTAATTGTATTTGTTAACTTTCCCTAAATGAATTTGGGAAAAATATATAGTTACTTGGTGAAGGAATGGGCTGAGTACTATAAAATTTTTTTTTATAACACATCCTATGTCTCATTTCAGGCTCTCTTAGTACAGTATTGTCTTGACTCTGCCCCCCCATATAAGGTCCTAGACTTTCTTTCTCCAATAGAGACCAATGCACACCTATGTGCTGCCCCACCTGTCCTGCCACTAGCTCCTCATCTCTTCTCACTCCAGCACTACCACTCGTTCTGTTTTCTCATTTGCTAAATCAAATTGTCATTATTCATTCCCTTCCAGATATCTTTTCTAGATTTGCCCTAGTACATTGAGCCTTATTTGAAACTCCTCCACTGATTCTCCTACTTCTTTATTCAACTGGTCGCATTCTAATCTTGCCAACTGATCATGACCACCTCCGAATCCATCCTGTGTCAGAATTCACAAGTTTTATTTTCTGCTACTCATGTTCTCCCTTCTCTGCCAAGATCATCCTTACCTTTAACTACCAACTTCTATGCAGATTACTTCCTGATTAATGTTTCTAAAGTCAGAAACTTTGCTAAGTCCCAGACCTTCATTTCCAATTACTGCTAGAGATTCTTACATCTACCTGAAAGTTAAGAATTGCATGTGCCATTTCCCAACTTCCTGGATAGACCTTCCTTTCAACTTGCTAATTTGTCTCATCCTCTCAATATCTAGGAATGAAAAACTACTGATTTTATTCTGCCAATGACCCTCAGGTCACTCTACCTTCTTCCCAGTCTCATGGGTACCACATTTCTTCAGGACCTCATTCTTGCCCACCCAGAGCATACGAAGAGTTTCTTTTTTCATCTACCAGTCTCTACTGCTGCTAGAGTTATTATCCTAAACTGTAGCTGTAAAACCTTCAGGAGGCTCTCTGGTGATTCCTAAATAAGCCATAGACATTCTAGCATGGATTTTAAGGGCCTCTATGATTTTGTTTTAACCTTCTGTATCACACACAACATTTCCCATCATAGTGAGCTTCTCCCTACTATTCCCTAGATGCTCAATTCTCTCTCGTTAACTCTCTCACAAGTTCCACACCATTTAGCTCCTGTAATATGACTGATCTCCAAGGCCCCACTGAAATACTGCCTCCAGTGAAGCTATTGGTACATAACTGGAAATAATCAATCATTTCACAAAATATAGGTAAAAATAATTTTGAAAATTTCAGGTAGTCCTTTATTTCTTTTTTAACGGTATTCATCAAACTCTATTTTTCTTTTTTATGTGTGCATACACCTTATTTCCTTTAATGAAACTATAAACTCCAGGAAAGTAGGGATTTATATACTGTTTGTGTTTGTACACTTAAACAGCTAGCACAGAGGTTTGCACTTAATGAATTCCCAGCAAATCTTCAGCAAATAACATATTCATCTTTTCAAATGGCTGATCTTATCAAGACATGAAAGAATATTCTCATTTCTCCATGAAATATGAAGTATATCTAATTTTTTCATACACATTTAAAGAATTAATTTAGGGCATACATTCTGAATTTAAGTGCAGCAAGCTTAATGGTCAATCTGGAGGGCATATACCCCCCTAAATGTTTGTTTTCTATTCTTCTTTCCCACTTTCTCCACTGTACTTAGGAAAGAGACTGACTAGATTTCCATTTTTGCTAATGTGTCAAAAGATAAAAATTCAGTACATTTCCAACCTTCTCAGAAGCAGCTAAAAAAAGGGTATGTACAGTGTAAGGACTTGGCAAAGACACTAAATATCCAAGAAACATGATTCTTTATATAAGCATAATTGTTTGTTTTGGTTTATGCTTTCCCCTTTCTATCTTGTAGGTCACACTCAAACTGTTTGGCAGACAAAAGTAAACAAAACTCTGTGATTTGAAATTCTTTACCAAGGGTCTTTGAGATAATCATCTTGGTCAACCAAGATACAAATCTAGGCAGAGGTTTTCCCAAAGCACACAGACTTTCATCCCAAATCAGGAAATAGAGACATGTGAAAATGAAGAGAAAACAAAACCAAACCATAAAATGATACTAGTTCATGAAAATTAAAACTTGTTCAATGCATGGGGATGATAGCCTTTGGTCTTTCTAAACCAGTCCTCTGATACTCTTAATATGAGGCAGTAATTTACTAGGGAAAACTCACATCTTGAGGGGGTGGATATTTTCTATGAATATTCTCAGCCTAGCCTGGGAGTGGTTAGGTGCTTAACAACAATTTTTCATAAAACTTTGATGGCATCACTACCAACATTCTACTAATTGGATAGAAGTTTTCTCTGTAAAGTAGGTGCTAGCCTGAAAACAACACATAAAGAACACTGCTGAGAAAGTTGATGCAGGAAAGGAACAATTCAGATAATTTATTTGGAAAAAGTCCAAACTGCATAATTAATGAGTCAGTGAAATGACATACTAAGGGATGGGATAGACTCTTCATCACTGGTTATATATCTAAACACTAGGAACATCTGGGAGAATTCAAACCAGTCTCTGACAGTGGTGCCATCAGCCCGCACTGTCCGCTGAGGCTTCTCTTCTTTGCTGAATTCTCTGATCTGCCTCAATGGTCTGAATGTGCTTTCTGAAATGTCTTAGAGCTATGCAAAGAAAATTAGTTCAAATATCTAAAAGTCATTAAAAACAAGAAAGAAAAAAGATGATTTCTAACATTCTATTCCCTTGATGTTCTGACTTAAAACCTTCAACTAAAAAGAGAAAGCATATCCGTGCATTAAAATTCCAGGGAGCCTGTCACTTTGTTTTCAAATGACATTCTGTGCACAAAGGTAAACCAGGCATAAAGGCTGCCTTTGTGTTTTGATTTTCCACGGGGGAATTCCTTCAGTCATTTGAAGAGAAGCCCCACTGTATATGCTAACACCTGAGGTGAAGAAATCTTTGATACATCTCAGGATTCCTCTATACGGGAAGTGACTGGCCCAATCGAGCTGCCACGCCTGTCAGTTTTAGGCCCCTATTAGAAAGATACAGTTAGAATATGTATATTAAATGTTAATGTGAGCTGCCACTTCAAAATCCACCTCCCCTTCCCAGCTACAATTTCTTTTCCTCCCTCTCTCTTTCTCCCTCTCTCTCCTTTTTAACAGTACAGTAACTGAAGCATAAAACGACATAAGAGCAAGATGGATTACATAAAAGGAGACAACTCATTATTTAGAGTATCTTAGGAATTCTCTGTTTTATTGAATTATTTTCTAACATTCTTGGCTTTTCACTGATAAAGTCATTGGTAAATTGCTATAATTAAAGAAGCTGACTGTGCTTGCCTTTTTCCTAGATAGACCTTCCTATGAATCTCGGTAAAAAATGTGGGCTCACTGGCAGCTGCAGGAGAATAAAACACAATCACCCTCAATCAGTATTTTTGAATACCTGGAAATACACTCTGTTTAACTGAAGAACTTGATAGTTCCTATTGCAATCAAATGAACTTCTCTGAGAACATTTTTAAAGGACGACGAAGGAGATTTTGAGCAGTGGTGGGTATCACCCTCTTTTCCGTATGTGTCACATTGATGGTTTCAAGAACAATATCCTAACAATTTGACACTTCAGAAGCCATAAAGTCCACCTAAATTCCATGTCATTAGAGACATGGCCTTGTTTATTATGAAATCTCAAGCAGCTTACTCAGCAGTATTTAAAGAGGAGGCAGCCTGTTGCTCCATTTAAGTTAATGATAGCTCATGAGAAATAACTAGGAGTTCATGAGAAATAATTAGGGTGAATATATCTACACATTCTCCCTAAATAGCCATACTCTGGTGAAATAAGGAAGAATACCAAAGGAAAGAGATGCCAGCACAATTAACTTACAGACTCTGCGTGTTCCATCACTGCTAACACAAAGAAGACATATTCTTGACCACTTTGGAGTTGCTTGTTTGTAAATCCACCATAATGTTTGTCATCCCCCAGGGTGAACTCAGTAGGAAGAACATCAAAGTGAGCAGCAATATATGGCTTTAATTCAACTTCTCTCCCATATCGGATGCTTCTGCGTTTCCTAGATATCTCTTTAAGCAGCTTAAGGGAAAGAAGTGGGAAACAGAAAAAGAAATGTAAACAACAATAACCCAACTTAATGACTATTTAATGGGAGAAATTAATTCAGGCCTGGGAACCACTCAAATACAATTTGTCCACATTTCATGTACCATGTCAGCATCACTAATCTCAGTTCTGTATTTCAAATGCTTGTCTTGCTGTTAAAGTAAGGTGTTAGACTGCTCTTGCAAGGCCCAGGCTAAAACACAGGACAATTAGACCCTTCCTTCAATGGTAGTTCATATCATTGTCTACCCTAATGAAATCTTCTCAAAGGGCAAGAGTGCATTATAACCTAACTAAAAAGTCAGCTTGATTCGCAAAAGCCTGCCATGCAGGCTTTATTACTGTTACTTATCAAACAAATAGTAACCTCATTTAAAGCCATCAGTTATGATCAATTTTGGGAGTGGTTAGATGCCTTTTAGTAATGAGATCATTTATACAATACAAATTCCCTCAAATCATCAGAAATAGAATCCAATGACCAAATTTTAATTGAAACTTATTTTAAATAGACATTGTCACTCATTTAATAATTTGTGGCTTGACTTGGTTTCTTAGCTCCTTAAATAACCTTTTTGTTTATTCCTCCCATTTATAGTCACATTAACTTTTCTGGAGCTGATAGTTCCTTGGAAACGTTGAATTTTCTTCCCAGGTGACAGAGGCAAGGTAGATAAAACATTAAGTTTAATATTACCCTGAAGAAAACAAACATACACCTGTACACAAAAATCCTTCATGTATCCTTAAAAGAAAAAGGTAGAACTTATGTTTCAATATTCCTGTTTGGCCTTCACCTTTTTCATTAGAAAGTTATATTAGTGGTATTTTATGATAAATGATTTCAAAGTAATGTTGAAGTTAGCTTTGTCTTCTTCCCTTAAATATATTGGTATTTCACAAGACGTAACCAGGTAAAAGGTTTACAGCAGTCTATGATGCCTTTTTTTTTTTTTTTTGGAATGAAAATTGTCTTTAACTCAATAAATAAAGTTAAGGTACTAATGGGAACATTATGGTGAAATTATTTGCTACTCTTGTTATATAAGTGGAATCACAGATCAAAAACCAAAGGGGTGATATCTGCTTAGCTCCCAAGGCCAGGCTTCTGTGATAATGGCTGCAGAGTCTATATACAGCAAACATTAAATCCTTATGTTCAGAACCTGATGGCATACTATACAGGGTTATAAATGTATTCAGCTGGTCCAATGCAAATCAAACATGTGAACACTCTTTGGGTTATACAGGTCATCTGTGCCCACGTTGTTTTGAATTCAATTTATAATGCTCTAATATTTTCTTTAACTTTGATTTTATTGATGCAATGAAAATTACACGAACTATAACATGTTATTTTTTAAAAATTCTGATACAAAATATTTAACAGTATATTGGAAAAGTCATTATGAATATTATTATTGATATGTAGTAAACAATGACCCATTACTTTAAGGATAAATGTACTACAGATGAGCTGAACAGCTTTTTGAAGTTGGTTAATCAGAAACATTTACCATCAGTTGTTTATGTTACTATGTTCCCCTCTTCCACTTCACTGATCAAACCCTACCTTGATTTTATCCATATTTCACGTGTATGCAACTGTCATAATTCATCCATATCACTGTCATCCCCACAAGTACCTTTTTGCTAAGGTTTCTTTAGAAAACTTAGAGGAAGTACCTTAGAATAAAATATTTGGGTTTTTTGGTGCTCCTTAGATGTAATGCAGCCATTCCTTAAGGTCAAACCTGGACTATCAACTCTGCCCCTATAGGTTGCTCTAATTTCTGCAGGATGCTTCCTGTGTTATATTTTACATTGATCAAGCGTGCTCAGATGACACCAAAGTTACCCAGTGTTTGTTGAAGTTACAAATACAAATGACCACATTATTTAGCAGCAAGCCTTTGAAGTAAATGCAACGAAAAGCTTATGATATATTATAAGACCTGCCCTGAATTAAATATAACTAATATTTTATGAGTCATTCTGTACAAAATTCAGTTTGACTATGAACGTCTGCTCTGCCCAGTCTGACCTTGACAACAGAAATTCCAGTGCATGAATTTATTATGTGGAGATTATCTCCAGACAAAGGATGAATGAGCTCAGAAGATAATATTAAGAGTGACTCTGTTTAGGAAGGCTCTTTCCATTTTTTATGGGCCTAGATGTGAAGCATACATGTGGAAATCCCCTTAGGCCACCATTATATTTGATGATATAGTTTCAATGATTTGAATTATAGGCCTTTCTAAAAAATCACTTGGTCAAATTCATTTAAGAAAGGAACACTGCTTTGTCAAAGCTGGCAGTACCAAGCTATAGATAAAATTACAACAATGCTTTTATTAGCCATGATAGGGGGAAAAATGTCTGTAGGGATCAGAAACTGGATGAGTAAGCATAAAGTGAGGCCATAGCCTAGTTTCATTTGTTCCCCTACACGATAGCTACAAAATGTATTGGAGGTAATTCCAAAAGATATATTAAGGGCTTTAGTTTTTTATCAGAAATAATTTTCATTTTCCAGTCAATGCATATCTTATTTCTTCCACCATTAATTCTACAATGTGGTCTCAATTATATCGGTAAGAAAAGTGGGAAACAACCCATCCTGACCCCAAAATTTTGAATTAATAAATGTTCTTTATCAAACTATTATACAGATTAATGCACCACAACTTGTGGGATGATTAAAATGACCCTTTGTTATGGGAATCAGCCGCACAGACCCATAGAATTTAATTGCAGGAAAGTTCAATGTCATATAGCTCTATACTTTAATCCATTAGCATTGCCATGCATTTTGGAGGTTAAAACCTGGCTATAAAAAAGAATCAGCTTCCTATTGCTAGCAAATGGTTCTACTTCCAGGAAAAGGTTATTACTTAAAAGTATTTGACATCATTTTCGGATTGGATCTTAATTCTTTGGTAACTAATTTTTTGCTTTTTATTTCTTGTTTTTTTTTTTTTTTTTAAAGATTTTATTTATTTATTTGACAGAGATCACAAATATGCAGAGGGAGGCAGAGAGAGAGGGGGAATCAGGCTCCCTAGTGAGTAGAGAGCTGGACTGGAATGGAGTGGGGGGCTGATTCCCAGGACACTGAGATCATGACCTGAGCCAAAGGCAGAGGCTTAACCCACTGAGCCACCCAGGCGCCCTGTTTCTAGTTTTTAACAGGAGGAAAGATTCATAGATTCTACAAGTTACCTTTGCATTTAAATTCAGTAATTTATTCAAGAGCTGATTAAAATAGTAAGTAATAACAATCTCAAAATTAACTGATTAGTCAGTTGCAAGTAAAAGCATGCCTTACTTTGAAATTTTACAAAAGGAGCACCTATAAAGAGGGAACATGATATGATGAGCACTGGGGGATATACTCAACTAATAAATCACTGACTATCAAAAACTAATGATATATTATACTTTGGCTAATTGAATTTAAATTTAAAAAAGGGGGGGGTACCTGGGTAGCTCAGTTGGTTAAATGGCTGCCTTCAGCTCAGGTCATGATCCTGGAGTCCCAGGATCAAACCCCACTTTGGGGTCCCTGCTCAGTCAGGAGTCTGCTTCTCCCTCTGCCCTTCCTCTACTCCTTCTCTCTCTTTCTCTCTCTCTCTCTCTCTCTCTCTCACTCATTCTCTGTCCCTCTATTAGATAGATAAAAATCTTTAAAAAAAATTTGCAAAAGATCAGTTGATATTTCACATTCAGATGGGAGATTACTATTCCTCTAACATAGGAATGATTTTGTTCATATTGTTCAAATGATTTTGTTCCTGCTTTATTAACAGAAAAAAATTATAACATAAAATAATTGACATTATTAAAATTTTATCCCAAATTACACCCCTCCAATGCTTATGTAATCATAAAATACTGAAATAAAAACATAATTCTAACCTTGAACTCATCTCCCCTTCTGAACTTGATCAAGTTTAACTCAGATAAATGAAGTGGATGAAGATGAACCATGTGTCTAGAGAGGGTGTATGTCTACCGAAAGAAGATAACAGCCCTCATATGTCAGATCACGGTCTCCGTAGTGCAGACATGGATGAAATAAACATCTCTTCCCTGTACGGCAACTAAGGAATTTGTACTTTCTCTTGCTGTGTTTGCACTAATTTAAGGTGGAGAAAATACCTGTATACAACAGGTTGGGCTATAAGATGTAGCCTAGGTTATAAATAAACTCAACAAATTAAAATCTCATATGTCCCCAAATGGGGACTTTTAATTTGCTTTCTGAAGTGATTCAAACCAGCATCATGTTAAAATTGCAAAGTTTTTCCTGTATTTGACTGAACCACAGCCATTAACTTGCTTGGACCTTTGGAGATATGGCTTAACATTTCTGATCAGTTTTCCCATCTAAATAAAATATATAACACATAGCGCTTATTCTTCATACTATGTATTAAAGTGCAAAAAAAACAAAAAACAAAACCAATGTTTTGATTTTTGTTTTTTTTTGCAAAAAGAGTATTAATTAAAATGCACCTACTATTGTTGTAAGATTTCAGAAATTAAAATCATACTATTTAGTGTTTGCTCTGGTTTTTGTTCTATATTTCTTTCTTGGCTCAGAATTGGGAAAGTTTCTTTTTTTTTTTTTTTTTTGTTCCTACAGTTGAATGCATTTTTGATTCTGAAATACCACAAAATATAGAATAAGGCAAACATGCTAATAGTGTAATTCTGTGAGAAACTGGTCAAGAACACATAGCAGGTCAGATGTTGAATTCTGGTGCAAATCACAATTTAGCATTTGTAACAGCTTCAGCTAAAACTACACTAATGAAGCAGACCTTGGAGTTCATAACAATGTTGATTAAGTCTTTGCTCACAATTCACTTCAACTTCCATACCTTGCATCATGTTTTACAAGAGGCAAGGGGCAAAATATTAAAGCCAGCAAAGATTAGACACGTTGTAAGCTTTACTGCAGCTAAATGTCTTTTAATTAAAGCAAAAAGTTCTTTGTTGGGATTCCTAGAGGTTACCAGCTCCATAGCACTGAACCATCCAATAGCTGACCAGCCAGCCATAAGTCAGCACCTGGATTAGACTTCCTCCTATACAGAGGAAGAGTATGTTTAATAAATTAAGTAACTAATGAAAGACATAGCCAACAAACACGTAGTTACCTCATCTAACTCCATCTCATCTGGACTCTCCCATGGCTTGATAAATTTCCCACGAGATTTCTTCAAAGGCACAATTATTATATAGTAACCTCTGCACAAGAATGGACAGACAAAAATAAGGTCAGATCAAAGGAAAAAGAAAATGGATATGTCCTTAAATCTTCCACAGACCAGTGATTGAGAATGAAGGCAAATTATGGATACGGAGTGACTTGCCCATTAATGAGGAATAACCACCTGTTTGTCCAATTTTAAAAATAACATGGGTAGACCATTAGGTGTGACCTCAAAGATTTTGTATGGTTATTACCACCACGGTTGACCTCTCTTTATGAGGTATCGTAAACAGAGCAGAAACAGTTTGTTAAGACCCTGGTGCTGGGCACATACAAGTTTAGTACATGGAAATCCAACATTACAAGCTACCAAACCAAGTATTTTCTGTGACACCAATTTATAAGGGTTTTTTTTTAAAGAAACTGCATAGTAAAAATTACTCTGAGCTCATACAAATGTCCAGATGATGACAACAATGATTTCATTTATATACTGCTAAAATACTTTTTTATTTGGATAAGAAATTAAATACATAAAATTACCCATAATTTCATAACAGTTATATAATAATATAATTGTTTTCTACCCATCAAGTTGCAAGCCTTAAGATAAATACTGCAGAAATTTGGAGACAACCTCTATCTGAGGGCCTTCGAAATAGATCTCAAAAAATAAATGTGTAAGAAGAGCAAAAATCATTGAGTACTCTCATTAAGAACAGTCAACCAAAATTTTACTAAGTATAAAGGGACCTATTCACAAGGAGATATAGGCTATTTGAAAAATGGTTTTGCAATTTCCACAAACTGCATATCCTGCTCTTGTATTCATGGTTTGTAACTCTGCCTGATCTTTGGTAGTAACTATATAAGAACTCTAAATATAGGTGTATAATGGCTACCTTCCTCTCAGGAATTATATTAAATGTATACTATATTATACTATATTAATTTAATATAATATATTAAATGTATAATATCATTTTGCTCTCTGAAAAACTGTATAAGGACAGTAAACAAAAAGGTAAATCCAGAGAGATTAAATTATGACCCAAATTAAAACACATAGTAAGGTGATACAAATATATATATATATATATATATATATATATATATATCTTAACCTTGGCAATAGTCTGGCTCTTTTTTTGTTTCATTACTCTGTATTATAAAATACTTTTAAAACCCCATTATTTTGTGGAGACTTGTAAAAATGAACTTATATACATATGTGCACACATACCTTTAGAAGAGAAGAAAGGGAAGAGAAGAGACCACAGGATGGGCACCACCAACCTTGCATTGAATTATATCACAGAGACAAATAGCACATACAGGAAGGCCTCTTTCTACTTATATCAACACAAAACCTGCAATAAACTCAGTAAAACCCTGTGATAAAGCACTCAGTTTCTATAAGCAGAGTCTAGAGCTGCACTGTCCAATACGGTAGCCACTAGCCAGACATGTGGCTCATATGAACTGAAATGTGTTCACAGTGTTAAAGACATTGGATTTTTAAAACTATGTATGAAAAGTAAATGTAAGGTATCTCGGCAGTAAATTTTTAATAGTGACCATATGCTAAATGATAATATTATAGATATGTAAAAAATAAGCTGCTAAAATTAACTTTACCTATTTCTTTGTCCTTTTTGCTATAGTCGCTAGAAAATCTAAGGTTTCACATGTTGCTTTCATGATATTGAACAGTGTTATTTTAGAGTGTTTTGGTGAAGAATGTGGCATCTGGAGATAATCTGGCCCACAATTTGAAGCTCTGTCACTAATTTGCTGTATGATCTTGGGCAGATCATTTAACATCTCTTAATCTCAGTTGTACGCTATGAAAAATGAAAGCACAGTGTGTGGCAAGTCACACCAAACTGATGCAAGCCACTATTGTTAGTACTGACCATCATTGTGGGAGAAATGCACCTGAACTACATTATTCAAGTAAGACTCAGTGACATTCCCTGAGATGCAAGTTCAGGTGCTTGTCAAACATTTTTTTCTCCCTAATCAAGAATTCAGATCAAACCAGACAACTATACTAGAACATTCTCTCCATGGTGCCATCTGAGCAACTAATCAACAGACCTCCAGAATTACATCACTGACCCAATCATTTTCTTTCCTACCAATAATAATGATGATCAAGGAGGGTGAGAAGGAAGAGTTGGGGTGTGTGTGAGAGAGGCCAGTATCTTGTACTTCATAATCCAGAGTAAACTTCCTCCTCCTCCTATCCTCCTACCACCTGAAGGATTTGTCAAACAAGTCCATCATGTTAAATGAGCCTGGAGAAGAATGACAGGGGCTGCAACTGAGCACACAAAATAACACTGCAGATGTACTTGATAAACACACTCATCTGGGAACCACCTGCTTTTCACTACCAATTGCACTAAGTGAGGATTGCTTCTCTCCTAAAGTAATGATACTACACATTATCACAAGCTCCCATTGTCCTCTTTCTGAATCTTGGAAATCAAGGTTAAGATGATGAATTCTATTAATTTTTCTTCTGCTTTCATACTTGAGTTGCTAATCTTGTACAGGGAAAAAAAAATCCATTCTTTTCTTCTGTACTCTCCAACTGTTCATTTAACTTGTGGCTGGGATAAGAATTGAACAGCCTCTCCCCCACAGCAAGTAATTAACAGTGTGGCTGGATGTGCATGGCTTTTCTGTCTCCTGATGTCCAAAGCATTCATCTAGAGCAGTCAAGGTAAAGCCACTTCAAAGCAGCTCTCGCATTGAAAGAAATGTGGCATAAGGAATTCTGTCCTGGAACTACATCCACACATTTCAGCCATGTTCTCTGCAACCATGGCTTTTCAAAAACCCAACTTGTTGCCTTTTCTGAAACTTGGTTTTCCCCTGACAACCCTGCTTCCCTCACAGGCTTTTCATGTGGGTCTGTGTATTCATGCCCCTCCCCTACCCAGCGAACCTCAGATGGAGGGCCTAGGGTTTCCCTCCTGGCTCACTGTTGCTTCTTTCAGGTATTTTCCCCTCCCCTCTTAACCTAAAAACATAAAGCAAGCTAATAAACAAGTGCCTCTTTTTTTGAAGTTCATACATTTCAACTATATTATTATTATATTATCATGATCTTCTCTCACTTATTTTTGCCATCTACGAAGCTCTTCAGAACCCCCCTTTTTCTTTCCTTCCTTCCTTCTTTCTCTCTTTCTTTTTTTCTCTCTCCTCTTCCCTCTTTTTCCCCCCAGGGTCAGTGGTCTTCCTTTTCTCCCAAACTCTGCCATCATCGTTGGTAATTTCAAGCTCCAAAGAGCACCATGCATTACCCAAGGCTCTTAGATCTTTGATCCTTCTCTGCTAGAGCCCACATCTCCCACTCTACATTACCTAAAATCTGTAATTGCCCTTCTCTGTGCCTGAAGCCAAGGAGCTGCATAGGGCTTGAGAAATTATGTACAGGGAACAAGATTTTGTAAATTCATATTCAGCAACTTCAGGCCTTCAATGCTGCCTGGCCATCCCACCACAATTTCTTCAGTTACTCATCCTTTCATTTTGTACAAGTTTTTCAGACTCTTTCCCCTGGTCGTAAACCTTAGGCATCTTTACCTCCTCACTGGAAGACAGCTTTATGTCTATGTAAAGAGAAAATAAAAACATTCAGACTAGAACTCTCTCATCTTCCACCTACCAAACTATAAGTTTACTTGCATCTATACATAACCAGTTTATCCTTTGGGTACAGTTGAGGGGCTGGCTCTATTCATGAAGGCCAATCACTTTCTTAAATTGGTTCCCATCATCTGCTCTCTGAGGAAGCTAACTATGCATCATTACCCCCCAGTCATATATTTCAATTTCTCCCTCCCCTTTGAATTCTATTAGTTTCCAACCCTGTATAAATACCTGACATTTAAAAAATGAACAAACCACATCCCACTCGTCATCTTTCTTGCTCTATCCTACTCCTTACTACCTGAATTCTGGGGAGACCTGTGTTTCTTGCTGTTCTCCATTACCTCATCTTCCTCTGACTTTCCAGCCAATAATATTCTAGCTCCTGCCTCATTAGTCCGCCTTGCTGCCCACACCAGCGTCCTAAGTGACTTTGGTAGGACTGTACCAAAGAAGAGTTTTGAACTTTGTCTTATGTGATCTCTTAGCAGAATTTGAAAATGTTAATGAGACCCTCCATTAAACATTCTCAGCCATTTCTCTGTACCCAATTCTCCTGGTTTTCCACTTAACATCTCTTACCACATTAACCTTATTTCTTTAACAGAATCTATTACCTACTACCTTACTATTAAATGGGAGAATCCCTGAAGATCAGGCCAAGGACTTCTCTTTATTCCCTCTTCTTCCTACATGGTCTCATTCTAGCTCAGGGTATCAGTTGTCACCTAGATGTAAATTATCTTCAGATTCATATCTTCATTCCAGAATGCTCCCTCTGAACTGTAGAGGTTTATCTAATTCCAACTCCGTATCTTCATGTCTATGTCACAAAACTACTTTAAATTTACTGTAGTTAAAACAAAACTAAGGGTATGCCTCCAAAATAAGTCTTCTACCATTGTACCATGATACCTTTGCTATAAAACTAGGTGTTATCACTTACAATTTGCCTTAACTCTTTTCTCTCTCTCATATCCAAAGCATCACCAAGTCCTATTACTTCCAACTCTCTATAGTCCATTTGCTTCTTCCTATCCCTGCAGCCACCACTTCTGCCTCTTTTCATGTCTCATGCTACCTTTGTCCTCTGACTTTCTCTCATCTTTGAACTTAACTGCTTCTAGTTCAATCTCTGAAATTTTCATTTTGCAATAGACACTTGATGGTATCATTTCCAGTTTAAAAACATTTCAGTGGACTCTCATTGCTCTTAGTAGGAGGGCCACAAAGTCTGATAAGACTCAGCAGAATCTTGCCGGAATCCATCTCTCCATGCCCTTTGAAGCTACACCCTGATGGGCTTTCAGTTTCTTGAATTTATTTACTTTGGTCTATTCTGTCATCAAACCCCTGATCATTCTGTTCCATC